GCGAACGCTCGATTTCGCGATTCCATGACGTCGTGTCGACGGCCGCCGGCGGGAATATATGTACATTGTGCGGCGCGTGTACTATTTAAAAGGCTGAAAAGCGAGCCGTTGCTTTTTATTACCGCGACCTCCGGCCCTCCCCCCGCGTCGGAAAGAGGTCCCGAAGATTAGACGACGATTTACCATTGTCGGCGCGCCGCCACGGCGGCGGATACCCGCTACGTGCCTTTTCAACGTAATTTCCTGCTTCTCCTATTTTCCACCCTTCGTGCCTGCGTGCGCCCGTAAGGGTCAAGTGTTAAGCAGCAAACGATTACAGGTAGTATCGATCTGTAATGGTCTCGGGGAGTATTCGAGGCCGCTGCGGTCGCACGGGGAATGCGCGCGTTTATACGTGGCACTTCGCATTGGATATCGCGGACGATAATTCGTGATAATCGCGAGCTGATAACGGCGACCGGTGCTTTCGCGTTCCGTTGGTCCTTTGGACGCTTCGCGGGATTCCCCGATCATTCTTAATAATCCATTGATTCCGGTATTTTAGTTTGGAATTTTACCACCGCTTTATTAGGACGGCTGTTTTACATATGTATGTCAGATAGATTACATTTCACTTGTCTTATTTTATCACGCATATATACGCACACACAGGTGTGAATATTATTAGATTCCCAAAGTTTGTTTTGGAAAATGATTTTAGTTACACGATAAATAATGTTGATTGGATTTTCGCGAAAGAGAAGAATGAGAAATGGGTTGAAGCAAATGCTCGATTTATTCGCGATCTCGCGGATTACGCGGATCCCCGTGCGAGATAATCGGTTCGCGATATCGGTCGAGACGTATCGGGATGGAACCGGCGCCGGCGTCGCCACAGGTCGTCGCCGCGTCAGAATGAAGGGACCTCGACGGAACAGAAAATGAAAACGGCGGGCCATTTTGCCAAAGGAACGACAGCCGGATGACGTGAGCGAGCACGAGATGGGACATCTGCCGACTCTTGCACGTCTACCGCGCGGCGCATCGCGAAATTATGCAGCTGGCATTTTCTCGCAACGGACGGGGAGGG